ATGTCCTTTTAGGCACTTTATTAGCTTTGAACCCTCATAACTTTTTAAGGGGGTGAGACCGCCACGAACTTTTTATGGTACAGTGGTGGGGGAGACCTCCTCTTTCGATCCCACCCACCCCCACCCCCTTTTCGGTGCGCGTTAAGACATTGTCCGGTTACGCTGATCGGTGATGTCTTTTGGTCCTTCGAGCCTGTCAGCCAGCAACAGCGGCCGCCGTCTTGACATGTCTCGGTGCGTATCTCGGCACAATCTGATGTTGCGACTCCGCGAATATTGCACTTGAGCGGCGAGAATTAATAAATTAGGCGTAAATTACAGGGAACCCGCGTGACAGCTCCTTTTGAAAACTTAATTAATACATAAATCAAACGAGCGGACCGGCTGGTTCGTTGGCAGGTTGTCCGTCGATCGTCGGTAGTCACATTATCATATCTTATGTTAAATATTTCATGATGTTTCAGACATTAAGTGGGACTCCTTCGTTGTTCTTTTCTAAGGCTTTTGCTTAGACTGACGGTGTGCGCGTTTACTAATTACTAGAAAGTTTGATTACGTTTCTGCGGTGATTAATTTTGGATGGAATATTATCCCTCAAAAGGTCGCAGAGGTCATTAATGCATCAATACACTTCGAATTTTCGTTTTCGAATAAATTCAATAATGAAATTGACACTTCATCTTGCTTCTTGTACCATGAATCAGCTCATTGGATACCATCGACGTGTCGACAGCCCATTCCGCAAATCGCGAAATGATAAGACCATTCGTAAGCAAATTGTTGCGGTACTATCGTATATAAGGTGTGTATCGTGTTTCTAATGGTTCAACCGATGGTCTCAACGTGCGACCGTGAAACGGAAAACGTCTTAAATTGAAATTTATGCATTTCTAATTGTTGTCGGTTTTCATTAATATGCTAATGAGAGTGCGCGCACGAACCGCGAAACGACTGGCGTGATGGACAGCAGGAATATCCGTGGGTACCTCTTGTGAGAACGTTTTATTACAGTCAGTCACAAACTTTGATGACGATTGATGTATTGAAAACATGAGTAAACATCTTAGCAATTATATAGGTAGACGATATTACCTTTTATATATTAAAAAAAGGATAACTGTAATAGTTGTGGAGTTATGGATCTGGTACAAAACTTGGAAGAATCTTGAGATGACTCAGTATATTATTGGAACTTGGATTTAGTAACGATTGCAACTGAGTAAAACGGTTGTTCTCTTGGAGCAAACAGTAGAACAATCTTATTTACAAGATGACTCAGTTTAAATTTACCAAATGGTTGTGTAATACGTTAAACTGATCAGGGGAGTCGGTGTAGTGACTCAGTACTGCCTCCAATAATAAATCATTGCTGGAGAAGTCTGTACGATATGTTCCAGGTGACATTATTTTGACTCAGTTTTAGTAGTACCTGACTGAGTTAAACTATCAGTAGTCTTCGACAGTAATGTTACAAACACATACTTCAGTAGTGACTCAGCTAAAAGATCTAACCAATATTCTGTATTCAGGTAGATACAAGTGACTCGTACCAAACTAAACTCTGTAATAAAAAGTGACTCACTGTATATTTTTATTAAAAGAAGAATTTATTAACGATTGTCAAGACTTTTTGTTTACTTAGTTGCTATAGTTTGCAGTGACTCAGTTACTGATGTGTATTTTTAATCTCAATAAATGTTAATGGTGTAGCTTTTATGTTTAGGGAGATACTAATATCTCTTACCAACTTGATTCTCCAAACTCTGTGATAAATAGTGACTCAGTATATATTCCTATTAAATGAAGAATTTATTAACGTATTGTCAAGACTTTTTGTTTATTTAGATTACTAAAGTTTAGAGTGACTCAGTTGTTAATGTGTATCATTAATCTTAATAAATGTTAATGGTGTAGCTATTGTGTTTAGGTAGCTACTAGTGACTCTTACCAAATCAAACTCTGTGATAAAAAGTGACTCAGTATATATGCTCACTAAAAGAAGAATTTGATAAAGGATTGTCAAGACTTTTTGTTTATTTGGATTTCCATAGCTTAGATAGTTGTTGTTTTAGTTAAGAATGACTCAGTTGTTGATGTGCATTTTTAATATTAATAAATGCTAATGGTGTAACTTTTTGGGGCGAGTCGAGTTTTTTTGTGACACACTGCATGCAACAATCCCATAAACATTCGCAAACGGTTGATCCGCGGCCGTGGTGATTTCTATATCTTTTATTGTTGAGTAATTTCGCCATCGAGCGCGTAACTGAGACTCGAAACTGAATCAATGCGAGAGACAGAGAGAACGAGAGGAAAAGAGAAAAAATATAATTTAAATACACGTTCGTCTCTCAAGATCCGCTTCAATCTACGTAACAGGATAATTGTCCAAGTCGACTCTCGTAATTATCTTCTTGGGATCNTAAATAATGTTTTATATAACTTTCTCAATATTTTTATGTATTTTTCCATTAGTTTTACCTTTGAATATTGTTTAAGAATGACTATATAAATATTGACATGCCTAGAAATGTATAAAAATTGGCATATTTATTAGCTTTGAACCCTCATAACTTTTTAAGGGGGTGAGACCGCCACGAACTTTTTATGGTACAGTGGTGGGGGAGACCTCCTCTTTCGATCCCACCCACCCCCACCCCCTTTTCGGTGCGCGTTAAGACATTGTCCGGTTACGCTGATCGGTGATGTCTTTTGGTCCTTCGAGCCTGTCAGCCAGCAACAGCGGCCGCCGTCTTGACATGTCTCGGTGCGTATCTCGGCACAATCTGATGTTGCGACTCCGCGAATATTGCACTTGAGCGGCGAGAATTAATAAATTAGGCGTAAATTACAGGGAACCCGCGTGACAGCTCCTTTTGAAAACTTAATTAATACATAAATCAAACGAGCGGACCGGCTGGTTCGTTGGCAGGTTGTCCGTCGATCGTCGGTAGTCACATTATCATATCTTATGTTAAATATTTCATGATGTTTCAGACATTAAGTGGGACTCCTTCGTTGTTCTTTTCTAAGGCTTTTGCTTAGACTGACGGTGTGCGCGTTTACTAATTACTAGAAAGTTTGATTACGTTTCTGCGGTGATTAATTTTGGATGGAATATTATCCCTCAAAAGGTCGCAGAGGTCATTAATGCATCAATACACTTCGAATTTTCGTTTTCGAATAAATTCTGTAATGAAATTGCCACTTTATCTTGCTTCTTGTACCATGAATCAGCTCATTGGATACCATCGACGTGTCGACAGCCCATTCCGCAAATCGCGAAATGATAAGACCATTCGTAAGCAAATTGTTGCGGTACTATCGTATATAAGGTGTGTATCGTGTTTCTAATGGTTCAACCGATGGTCTCAACGTGCGACCGTGAAACGGAAAACGTCTTAAATTGAAATTTATGCATTTCTAATTGTTGTCGGTTTTCATTAATATGCTAATGAGAGTGCGCGCACGAACCGCGAAACGACTGGCGTGATGGACAGCAGGAATATCCGTGGGTACCTCTTGTGAGAACGTTTTATTACAGTCAGTCACAAACTTTGATGACGATTGATGTATTGAAAACATGAGTAAACATCTTAGCAATTATATAGGTAGACGATATTACCTTTTATATATTAAAAAAAGGATAACTGTAATAGTTGTGGAGTTATGGATCTGGTACAAAACTTGGAAGAATCTTGAGATGACTCAGTATATTATTGGAACTTGGATTTAGTAACGATTGCAACTGAGTAAAACGGTTGTTCTCTTGGAGCAAACAGTAGAACAATCTTATTTACAAGATGACTCAGTTTAAATTTACCAAATGGTTGTGTAATACGTTAAACTGATCAGGGGAGTCGGTGTAGTGACTCAGTACTGCCTCCAATAATAAATCATTGCTGGAGAAGTCTGTACGATATGTTCCAGGTGACATTATTTTGACTCAGTTTTAGTAGTACCTGACTGAGTTAAACTATCAGTAGTCTTCGACAGTAATGTTACAAACACATACTTCAGTAGTGACTCAGCTAAAAGATCTAACCAATATTCTGTATTCAGGTAGATACAAGTGACTCGTACCAAACTAAACTCTGTAATAAAAAGTGACTCACTGTATATTTTTATTAAAAGAAGAATTTATTAACGATTGTCAAGACTTTTTGTTTACTTAGTTGCTATAGTTTGCAGTGACTCAGTTACTGATGTGTATTTTTAATCTCAATAAATGTTAATGGTGTAGCTTTTATGTTTAGGGAGATACTAATATCTCTTACCAACTTGATTCTCCAAACTCTGTGATAAATAGTGACTCAGTATATATTCCTATTAAATGAAGAATTTATTAACGTATTGTCAAGACTTTTTGTTTATTTAGATTACTAAAGTTTAGAGTGACTCAGTTGTTAATGTGTATCATTAATCTTAATAAATGTTAATGGTGTAGCTATTGTGTTTAGGTAGCTACTAGTGACTCTTACCAAATCAAACTCTGTGATAAAAAGTGACTCAGTATATATGCTCACTAAAAGAAGAATTTGATAAAGGATTGTCAAGACTTTTTGTTTATTTGGATTTCCATAGCTTAGATAGTTGTTGTTTTAGTTAAGAATGACTCAGTTGTTGATGTGCATTTTTAATATTAATAAATGCTAATGGTGTAACTTTTTGGGGCGAGTCGAGTTTTTTTGTGACACACTGCATGCAACAATCCCATAAACATTCGCAAACGGTTGATCCGCGGCCGTGGTGATTTCTATATCTTTTATTGTTGAGTAATTTCGCCATCGAGCGCGTAACTGAGACTCGAACTGAATCAATGCGAGAGACAGAGAGAACGAGAGGAAAAGAGAAAAAATATAATTTAAATACACGTTCGTCTCTCAAGATCCGCTTCAATCTACGTAACAGGATAATTGTCCAAGTCGACTCTCGTAATTATCTTCTTGGGATCCGCCCGACGAGAAACGGAAGTGAATTGCAATATGTTGATGAAAAGCGTGGCAAATAAAGATTTTTTTTCCATTACTGCGGTAAAAGTCAAGGAGAATTTAAATGAGAAAGACGATTGAATAAGGCATTTAGGATGATGAAACTGTGATAGGACAGAGTACCAACTACAAGACGGGCATCGTAAACTACAAACTGATCAAAACAAAAGTGGTCTGCATTCTGTCGAAACTGCCAGACGCGGATCGCGATTTCGATCTTTTTGGATCTCATCAGCACGTCGCAGGCAGCTCCGACAGAACACAGACCAACTTTTACCTGCTGTCTTAACAGTGCGTTTTAGAAAATACTACAAATGGCGCAGTAAACGCCATCTGTAGCACGATGCTACATTTTAGGATTACGTATGCTCCAACAAGGTCCACTTGTGTGGATATCTACTTGTTGAAAACGAATCCCGGCGTAGCCATTTGTAGTATTTTCTAAAAGAAAAACAGTTGTAGCTGTAATTTGATCCAGTCAGCCGTGATTATAACTTTTGTTTCTTCCTAGTTTAGTTTTATCTTTTTGTCGCGAATACACATAGGTACTATGTGCAAACAGACAGCTGGTTTTGATCATCTCCAGCGAGCATCATTATTCTCTCATACGCTTCTTAGTTCGTAGCGCAGATGCAGATGCGTGACTACTGTTTATGACCCCGTGTATTAATGAATTTCCCACACTTTATTGCTCGCAATGAGGAGATAATTACGGGTACATCTCCCATGATTTAGAACACGGGCACATACGTACACTAATCATCTTTAATAAGGAACTTGTGTACGTAAGTGTCTCTCAAAGGAATCGCATGTATTTTATCAAAGTCCTTGATGTTGAACTTTCCAACGTTTATTTTAATAATAATTGATTAATTCTTTTTGGATCTCATCAGCGCGTCGCAGACAGTTCCGACAGAACACAGACCAACCTTTACCTGCTGCCTTAACATCGCGTTTTAGAAAATACGACAAATGGCGCTGTAAACGCCATCTGTAGTACAGTGCTACATTTTAGGATTACGTATGCTTCTATTCGATTATGGTAACGTGCCTACCACGTTGAGGTGAGCTACGCCGGGATCCGTTTCAGCAAGTGGATATCCACATATTTAAATGGACCTTGCTGAAGCATACGTAATCCTAAAATGTAGCATTGTACTACAGATGGCGTTTACAGCGCCATTTGTCGTATTTTCTATAACATTTTATGGTATAAATGGGAATGGTTCTGTACCTTGACGGTACAGTACTGCAAATATAATTGTTTTGACTTTGAAATAAATGATATTCTAGTGGAGGAGGGTAGAAAATGTAGAAACTTACCTACGGGCAATGAGGTAACTTTAGAAATGGACGACGACGGATTCTTGAGCCTTTGCGGTGAATACTTGGGTACTTGCAGCACTACAGGTGTCTTAACACTAAGATCGACAGGCTCCATTTGTACTGGGGGGCCTTCTGCCTGAAAATGTGAAATTATTTACCATTTCAAATTTCAAAATCGTTCCTTATCATAGAAATAATCTAACCTAAAATTACGTAAAATACATTTAATTGTCCTTTTCTTGGTACGATTCATTAAGGAAATCCTGAAACACAAAATGAGTTTTAAGAAAGTTATTTAGGTACCTAGGGGTCTTTGAGGGACTACCTAAAGCTGTAACGTTATGGAATCTCAGAAATCCATCTGGGGATCTTAGGGGAAACGTACTGTTCAGTGAATATGATTTAGATGTCTACTAAAGTCGTTCAGAAACCAAAACAACGAATTAAGAAGATTAAGCAGTTCTTAAAAATCATCGAAAACTTTCAAGGATTCTCGAAAAATATAGAGATCAAGGAAAAATTCTAAATGTCCTTTTAGGCACTTTTTAGAAAGTCAATGAGGAAAGCGGGATTTTAGGAGTAACGTATTGTTCAATGTTGTGATTTACAAATTTACCAAAAGAATGATTAAGGAACAACCATCGAAAATTTTTAAGGATTCTAGAATAATTAAGGAAAAATCCAGGAATTTTTTAGGAACATTTCAGAACCTTTGCGAGCCTTTTATGGGTCAATCTGGGAATTCCAAGAAATGAAGATCTTAGGGGTCAACGTATTGTTCAATAAATATAATCTAAAAATCTACAAAGATTGTTTACAAACCTAAAGAACGATCCAGAAGCATGAAGCAGTCCTTAGCAACCATCGAAAACTTTCTAGGATTCTAAAAAATTTTGGCACTAAGGAAAAAATCTAGTAACCCTTTTACGAACTGATCAGAAACTATGTCAAATAGGTCAATCTGAGAATCCAAGAAAATAATTTAGAAATAAAAATCCTGACAGGGATCCTAATAAATCTAAGGGCTAAAGAAAATATTTGTAAGTTTTTTGGGAATCATTGGTCTCCCCAATAGCCAAAGGAAGTTTTGTATAGGCCAATAAATTTGAGGATATTTAGATGAACTTTCTAGTGCCTAAAAATTTTCCAGGCAAAGGACTGATAAAAATCTTCCTGGAGTCGTGGAAAACCGACGGGAGTGTAGCAACGTAGTGAATCAAATTAAGATATTATTCGTAAATAATTATGTTTCGCACTCGAACCAGTTATGTGGCAATGGTAATGCAAGTATTTCAGTAAGCGGCTGTCAGTAAATTTATTAAATACCGCCGCCAACACGACACGGGAGTGGATATAGTTCTTCTTCGGCCTCAGCAGACCGAGATCGTCGCTTTCCTTGTTTGCATGCTCGCTGCTTGCAAAAGAACTAACTATCGAACATACTCTACTACTTGAGGCTTGAGCGCAAGGTCGCTACGCGTTTTCTTCTTCGTCGTTCATTAATAACGTTCTATAAGGAATTGACAAGTCCCTGCAGTAACTCGCCCGTCAGCTGAAGTAACGTATTGTAGGTGCGTGTGTGTTTCTACACATATACCTACATGTGTACATTTTTATTTACAAAGGCACTTGATACCTGTCCATTGAATAGGGAAGGACGAACGAAGGAGTCAAACGATAAGCGCTATGTTACGTGTTTGTCGGTTCGAATTAATTAATTGAACATTCTTAATATTCAATCTTCTACAGATTATCTCAAATTAATAAGGAAAAATTGTTAAGCTGTCACGTCCTCGTCGGGAATCGAACCCGGGTCCTTTTCGCGTCAGTGTTCTAATCGCTAAGCTACGAGTCGTGACGTTCGTTTAAGGTAATTTGTAGCGTTTTAAGTATAAATTCACATTAATTTATTAAATATTAACCTCTATTAAGTACAAAAAATTAATTTGTTTATTTAAAATAAATTAAAACATCAACGCAAAGCACAAAAACGACCTTATGATGATGATGATTCTACCGTAACTTCTATAATATAATATTGAGTGCGGCAGTAAAAAAAAATATAGTGAGGTACTCAAACTCAAGCGATCGATTGTGTTATAGCTGCGGCTGATTTTTCCGAGGAAAATTATAATGAAAAAGCGCCACTCCAATCTTGACATAATACAACCGAGGAGCGATATAATCATCAAAAGTATAATATCGAGGTGTACGCTGTTAATATTTAACCTTTCACACCTGTATGTAAACCGATGGGTGTTGGGGTCGTTTGTTTTTCGCTCGGGTTTACTTGTGCTATCGGGCGTTTNTGAAACCATTCCATCAGTATTTTCTTATGACGTTGTCACGTTCAACTATCGTCAGTAAACCGACTTTACAGACAACCGATTTTTTTTTTTTTTAAATACTTATCACATAAATAATAAAGCAAACGTCAGGTTTTAAACTGCAATAATAATCAACATTAGCACACCCCGTATATTAATGTGACTACCGTGACAGCGGTAGTCTTGTAACCAGTGACAAGTAAAAACGCGATATTGTTTTATTGTACGGCCGCACTTGTGTTTTCCGATTGCGTTTTGCTACAAGTATAAAATAAACATCGTAAAGTGCGAAAGGTGTATACTGCCGGTATGAGAACAAGTACTATATAGGTGCCTAACGCTGTCCGTGCGTTTGTAACGCTAAGTATAAGTGTGTGTCTAGTGTGAATAAAAACGGAAGGTCTTATATGGAGGCAGAAATTTGTTCTGTTATTTTTTGTACTACAGACAACGTAATTTTCTTTTTGACAAGAAGAGCACTTCAAATGTACTGTTTGAACAATGAAATAATAATGTTATTTGCGAATGAAACAGGTAGCAATAGTAAGTACCTGTATCGACTGAGAACGATTCAAGAATAATTTTAATTTTACATCAGCGGATTGTAAGCAAAATTTTCGATTGCCGATTTTCAGTTCGATCTGTTACTTATTAATGGTTAGCTTCGTTTGTTGCAAGCTGCATCAGGGGCGTGTCTGCTGCATCGATTGTTACTTATAGCAGCAAGAGCGCTATCTCATTGGTTATCTATTCCAATACTTAATTCCTTTGTGAATTTTCAGTTCGATTTGTAGTATCTGAGTTACGAAGAATTAAAGATTAGCCAATCAAGTGTGCTTTATTTGCTGCAAGCTGCATCAGGGGCGTGTCTGATGTATCGATTGTTGCTTGCAGCAGCAAGAGCGCTCTCTCATTGGTTATCTATTCCAATACTGAAGTCCTTTGCGAATTTTCAGTTCGATCTGTAGTATCTGAGTTATAAAGAATTAAAGATTAACCAATCAGGTGTGCTTTATTTGCTGCAAGCTGCATCAGGGGCGTGTCTGATGTATCGATTGTTGCTTGCAGCAGCAAGAGCGCTCTCTCATTGGTTATCTATTCCAATACTTAATAACTTTGCGAATTTTCAGTTCGATTTGTAGTATCTGAGTTACGAAGAATTAAAGATTAGCTAGTCAGGTGTGCTTTATTTGCTGCAAGCTGCATTAGGGGCGTGTTTGAATACTTTAGTGTTAATAATTCACTAACCACAGCACATATGGAAAAACTATAACAGAAAGATTTACTTAGAATTTCAGTTCACTTCAAAATTTTCCCGAAAATAATTACACGCATAATTATAATTAACGTACAGCACGTATATAATCATAAGTTTCTCAATTCGCATGTACTGTTAATGACATTAAGCAGCCTATTACATGTACCGACCCAAATTTTTTCGCGAAACACGTAAAAAAAAATTCCGCGTCCGTGGGCCTACATTTTGGCGTGCCTACATGCGTCTTGCCGATTTTATTTGAATGTCGAAAGTACGGGGCAGGTTTTTTTTTTTTAATTGGAACAATCTACTCTCGCGCTTAGTATCTACCTCTAATTACAATTTTATATGTTCTCGTTTTATAACGGTCTAATTATTTCCTAAACGCATTACGAAAAGAGAAAAAAAAACAGCCGACGCAAATTAAAATTTATGTCGTTGGCATTAATCACGTTAATTGTTCGACATTAAAAGTCTACCGCGCTTTACTTGTTGTTATTGTTGTTGTTGTTTCAACGTTCGTATGGTAGTGTACTGCGGGTTAATTACTTCCACAACCCGGTGTGCGACCTTGTTTAACAATGCCGTTTATTTTCATACTGTACTTACTGTAAAAATTAGGCAAAATTTCCAAAAGAATATTGGACAAGGGCCAATATTTTTGCATTATACTGTACAAAGTTGTGAGCACTTTGAATAAAATGGTGTGTGCTATTGCATTCTTTTATCTTATAGTTAGTTTTTCCGTTAGGGGTAGTCAGTAACACTTGAAATCAAAATGTTATGATTAATAGTCCAAATAATTGATGTTTTTTGGTAAGAAGTTTTGAAATTATTTGATATTGCGAGTTCATCATGCCCTGTAAATCCCCGATATTGTTTTGGTGGATTCGGTGTCATTTATTAAGCGGATTGACCGCAATAGACCGATCGTGCCTACCGTGAATTTTTCCGAAAACATGGGTTTCTATTCTAAACATTGTGATTTAACGCTGCGAGATAAATATCTAATTTTTTCTATGGTAGCAGGCAAAGGTTCACACTAAATCGGTACGTTTTTGGTTTCCAATAATATGGTCATTAAAAGCTTTTACAAGTGCTTAAAGTTGATGTTTCTTATAGGACACACTTTTTCAATAGAAGTTAAAAAATTAAGAAATGCCCTTCGATACGCTTTAGAATAAAGCTGTATCTATCTTACTACAAAATTTCAAACCTCTGTTTTAAATATTAAACTCATGATATCTAGAACCGATAAGCATGACGCGTGTACCACTGAATCCCCTTAATTTATCGGTATTTTTTGAATAGAAAAGGATTCCGTGTTATTTTTTAATGTATCATCTTTTGAGTACTACTGGCTCATGCCGAGGCGACTTTTATAAAAGATGTAACCGAATGGACTAATTTCAGAATTCAAAACAAGAAAAATCACTAAATTTTTTAAACTCTTGCCTAAAGCTGATTATAACGATCAATTTTAATTGCGAATTTATCAATACATTGATTTTATTTTGGAACCTTAGAACGTATCCCCTATGATTCCATACT